ATTTTAAAAAGACAAACAGGAAAAAGGAGCAGGCAGCAGGGAGCCAGCATGAGGCAAGGAGCAGGAGCACATCCCATGGGCTGGCCTTGCTGTAGTGCACAATCACACTTCTGACTGTCATATGCTTGAGACCGTTAGCAGAAAGCTGCTGTATTAATTAAAGGCCTCAGAAGGTTCCTAATAAGCAATTTCTGGCCAATCTAGCTGTGGCAGCTTAAAACGCTACTGCTCCCCAGTGGGTTGCTCCTTTCTCCTGCAGCCAACAACCTTCCCTGCAGCAGAACTGGACAAAGTGTCTTCTCCCAGGAGCTGTGCACATCCTCGCCCCAGCAGGCAATGTCCATCCACTCTGCTGCTACTGCAAGAGAGGAAACTTCTCCAGCCCTGATTTTTTCCTAAACTAAGCCAATGTCTTTTTTTTCTCTTAACAGAGAGAGTATTCTAACAATAATTTTTTTTAATCACAAATTTATGGCTTAATAGTTATCTAAATCAGTCAGCCTCCTCCCACTTCTCACAGCCCTCTATTAACACAATTTTACAATGAAGGATAAATGCATTTGGAAATTCCCTGTGTGAATTTCTGGGAAGAAGGCCACGTAAATGAGTGGCCACCTGATCAGTAACAGGAAGCAAGCAGAAGCGTATTATCATCGAATATCAACATACTGTTACATCAAGTCTGCTCTGCACGTCTTTTCCTGGGTAAGGTGAGCAACTTGTTGCTGGAAAGCATACAGCTGTCTCTGCACATTGTTATTAATTGCCAGTGGTTGTAGTCTTAGAGTTGCCCATAAAAATGTACGAGCATCCAACACAGAGACCARAGACCTTTGGCCAGTTACCTATTGATTTTCTCAACTGAGAATCATAGCTGGGAACTGGAGATTCACAACAGAAACATGCAGCTACATGGAAGCTACACTTCTCCTCCAGCAACAACCTTTTGTCCATAGGTTTTGAAAAATGTACGATCTTGACACGGTAAGGACCACCTGATCTGAGAGTTTATCAAGCCCATATACCAACAGTTTTGTTCATCTCCCCAAAGCATTGAACAAACCAGCAACTTCTCTGATTTACATGGCAARCAGACAGCAACCCATTGCCCAACAGATTCAGTGTGACATTTAAATGCTTAGCTTTTGCCACATGAGAATAATGCTGGCACTTTTCAGCTCTCCTGGCTGATAGTATTTACTACATAGGATTATCCCACTGCTTCACCTCAGACCTCATCATTAGTAATACACATAGCTCAGAGCAAAGCGAGTGTTTTCCATCCTTTTCAATGTACAGTCAAACAAATCTAAGTGTTTTGAAGTACTGAGCTTGCCACCACTGCCACTGCCACTCCTCCCCAAACTCTATTTTCTCTGTAAGAAGGACTTACAGTTTTTGGACTTATTTGGAGGCTGTGAAGGGGCAAAGCTATACATGMACTCCTTTTCCTCCCTATCACCACCAGCTCAAATCTGCAGCACCACAAAAAGCAAGCTGCAAGCTTTTAGAACTGATCCAGAATACTGTTGCAATATAAAATGATRCCTGTAAAACGAAACTGAGATGGGAATTTTTGCATCAGATGCAAACCTGGTTGTGTAAGAAGCTTCCTCCAATCCCCAGAGAGAAAAGGTGTTACCATTACTGATTACACACTGACTAGTTGGAACCATTTGAAGACTAACAGTGACAAGCCACTGCATTCAAAAATCTTGCTCCATCAAACAAAGTATCTAGGTGAGTTTCCAAATAAAATCTGCAGTATTCTAATAAATCTGCACACTTTCACTATAATAGCAGTTTCTTCCCTTCCACCACAATGCTCTTTATGCATCTTTAATCAAGCTATGTTACTAGAAAAGGGGCTGAAACCAGAAAATAAAGAGATGTGATAAACCTTAAGCTGTGCTCGGGTGGAAGTTCTACTGTTATTATGTTTGGCATATATATGTGAAATAAAAATATCTGTCACTGATTTCTTCATTGGTCAGCAGCCAGGCTGGTAGGGATTTACCACCCCCAGAGATACCTACAAGCACTTACTTATCTAGGGTTAAGTCCAGTAACTCACTGGGAGCATCCACTACCTAGTTTTGACCCAAGGAAGATTTATGCCAGGGATGGTTGTGAGACCACAAGACAATGCAAACTGCTAGCAAATTCACCCTCCATTCAGTTTGCTATAAGAATTTACAATTGCTGTTCATCTAGGCTCTCGTGCAAATTGTCTCTGAAACTTGAAGAGTTTGGATCAACTACAAATGCAAACTAAAAACACACACATGTTGCACACATGCATGAATCTCTGTTCCCTTCATATAGTGTCACCTGCTCTAGGCAGGGGGAGGAAATGCTGCCAGATTAGATTAGTCCCTGAACTGACAAACAGGRGGCCAGAAGACTGCCAGACACAGAGGCTGGAAGAGGTGGTAAGAAGAAACTGGGAAAAGACCGCCTCCACAGTACCAGCCTGCCATTACACTGAGGAACTGAAAGGTCAAACCAGTCTTAAACCACTAAAGAAACTGGAGCCCTTTGTAAGTTTCCTTTATTTACTATGCTTCTTTGCTTAGCATGTTTTTTGTTTCCATCACGAGTGTGAAATACAGGTGATCTATTCCTCTAGAAGATGACAGTTACAAGTTTCCAAAATACCACTCCTGCCATGCAGTAAAAAGAAAGTCCCMAAAAAACCCAAGTTATAAAGAAATAAATAGTAACTTACACATAATGATTGGTTCAGAGTACATTGCTAAAGCTACAGGCTTTAAAGGTGTATTTTATTACAAGAACGTTATTAGTTAACCCAATGTCCTTTGTTTACCCAATATTCCTGAYACAATTCTTTCTAGAATTGCAAGATGACCTGGATTAAGGAAACATTGCATATTCAGCTAAACTAAACAAAAAGCCTAAGAGGAAACAAGAAGATGACATAAAAACACTCAACATGCTTCGGAACAGCTTAAGAGAAGGAACCCAGAAAAGGTGCAAAGAGGAAGCTCAAGGAGGAAAAAAAATAGGTTAAAGTCTGTGTTGGGTGTAAACGGAAACAAAACAAGAACAGCCTCCTTCGCAGCAACTGAAGTAACAATTGCAATATTATTTCGACAGTTCATGATGCTTGAAGAAGTAGTGAAATGATACCTTGCCTGAAGTACTAAAATGATACCTTGCCTTTCATGAAAGCCAGAAAAGGTTTTCATCTTGGGTCTGTGTTTGGGCTGTTTTTGGTTTTCTGGGTTTGGTTTTGTTGTTTTCTGGTGTTTGTTTTTGTTTTGGTTTTTTTTTGTTTTGTTGTTGTTGTTGTTTTTAATCTGGAAAGTACCAAAAGTACTTAGCTCCATGTTATTTTGCCTGAACCACCTAGCTGCCTCTCAAGCATCTGAATTCCCTCAGCCCAGACCTACCAAATACTCTTTCAAAAATTTTTCACCCGGAATATTCTAGTGTAGTTTCAGGAGACTGGTGATGTAGAAATCCCATTCATTTCTGAAGCTGGACTGTGCAGGGCACCAAAAGCGGGTACAGCATAAGGGACAAGCCCACCTGCCCCTTGCCAGCCCCAAGAGAGGAAGGGGATGTCCCTTTGGGTGCACTGGCAGCTGCTCCTACAACCATACCCTGGACAAGAGATAAAAATCTCATGCAGGTTAACAATGAAGAAACCTGGCAAAAAGCCTCAATTTATCTTATCATTATTATTATTTTTGATCCTAACCAGCTTCTTGAATCTCATGGTGTGACCCTGAGAGCCAATATGCCAGCACAGCTCAGGAACGAGGGGACAAACGAAGTGCTGATGGAAGCAGAAATTCATTAACATAACGTGCAAAAAACAGTGGCCATGAAATAATGACCATGGTCTCCTAGGATAACACCAACAGTAGATGTCACCTAAATAGCTCAGCAGAAATAATTTTCAATCCTCTGTTGTATCTCATAAAGCCCAAAACCAACACTCAAATATCTTTGCCCTGACCAGTGGTAGGACGCAATAAGCCATACACAATTTCTACCATTGTGGAAGACAATGCAAATATGACTCTGCTATGCCTGATGAGCTAAGTGGGCATATAAGCTAGAGTTTGAGTCTGTTGCTTGAGTGCATAGAAAAGATTGTGGGGACCAGGGATGGGAAACACTGTAACACGAACAGGAGGGTGTCCTGAAAAGCACCAGTCTCCTCACCCCATCACACTTCTCAGTGAACTGTTATTATTATAACTACATGGTTCCTTCTGGCTTGGTACTAAGATGAGAGAAGTGTGGAGGAGAAAGGTTGAGAAAGCATTTCTGWTTCTCTCTTCTAAGTGGCATTTTTGCACAGTCTGTTTTCGTTCTTATTTTGCAGAGAGGACGACTCCCAGCCCCCTGCATTCTCAGCATATTTTCTATACTAGATTGGCTTGACGTCTATGATTTTAACCCACATTTTGTACATTCAATGACTTCTAGGAAAGAGAAGTCTGCTTTCTGCAGCAGTATCTTAAAGTAGTCCTTTGCAACCGATACCCGCCAGACTGCCTCACTGTGCAGTTCCCTCTTCTCAGAAGCATCTATTTTGTGCTTTTGTATCTATTAACTTCACATGGTTTCATTCACCGAAAATTAAAAGTAACAACAGTTACACTAACTAATTTAGTGATGCTTTCCTTGAAATTAAACAACATGCATATTGACATGTCCTGACAGGCCAAAGGCAAGGGAGGAGGAGGGAGAGCAAGAGGGGAGGGAGTCTTAAGGCATTTAAATTAGCATTCACCTACCWGCAAAATAACAGCTAGTCTTCCATGCTTTCCAAAACAATAACAAGAACCATCTATACCCTATAAAGGGTGAAGCAAATTTGCTGTATCTTTGGTATCCGCACTGGAAAGTCTGTTTATGGTAGGGCATTATGTGCAACCATCCCCAACTGGTAACATAAACACAACACTCTAGGACAAAAGAGACAAAGCAGAAAGGCTCTACTTTAATCATAAGATATTACTGACCTTTTCCTCAAGGGCCCTTCTTCAAAATCTGAAGAACTAACATCATTGCTTGTTGAGGACACTTGCGATGCATCGTCCTTCTCATTCTCCAGCTGTTCTGATCCTGGTCCTAATCCTTTAGATTGGCCATTAGTGAGAAGTCCTGCAAAATTGACAAAGCAGTACACAATATTGAAAACCTGCATTACCCGTGATTTTATAGAAATTCACATGTGACACTTAAAATAAAGAGCTAATGCCCAAAGCAACTGTCTTGCAAAAAGACAGACTGATAACACTGATTTTGCACAGAGGTACTTCAATAAAAATTTGCCAGCCGAACTGCTCCTGATTTGGTTAACTCTAAGACCCCAATCTCCAATAACTACACTATGGGTGTTTGCAACAGTGTTTATATGCTTGTCACATTCAAAAAGAGACATGGTTTACTCAAACTCATCCTTGTCCTAGAGAATCCCTATTGACTGACACAGATGAGAGCCTTTTGCACTTATCTGTGGATTGATATAAAATTAAGCTGCCATTTGGCCCAATTTTATATCATCTTGCTCTTCATTCTGGTGCTTCCAACTACTGCAATTTATGAGATATTAAAAAAATCCTAAGTGCCAAAGAAGTGAACATCAAATGTCTATTTCCTGACACTCATTCTGCTGGCCAAGTGTCACTCATCTACAGAAACTCCAGATGTCAGAAGAAGTACAGAGAACAGCAAAGGTACACAGACCATAGCTTCCTTCCCTTTTGTGCCTTTTCTCTCCTGGAGCAATAATACAGCAAGCAGAGTCACACAGATGGAAGACAGCACTGGACCTTTGTAAGCATAAAGTTTAACAAATATTGTATATTCTATGCCATCAAGTACCTACAACATAATATGACTCTTACAAACAACAGCAGACRGGCAATGAAACTGCTCAAACTTAAGGAAGAATAAAAATAGCAACATATTCTTCTGCAGGCTCTGGGATGAGAGGGAGGAAACAATTTTATTAGCTCACTATTTACTTGATGTTTTAAGAGCTTATTTCCAGAGGAGCTGCAATTTTATCCAGGAGAATGCCTTCTCATTTCTCCACCCAAATAGTTTTACAAATGGCATAACAAAGCTTTGTTCCGTGGCTGTATTTCCTCAGGGAAATGCTGGTAGAACTTCCCTCCCTTCCTTAGGCATTTCAGTCTCCCTTTCTATAATTGCACCTTAGAAAAGAAAATGTGGCATCTCTTCCAAGATGAGCCAGSCAGGAAGGCTGATCAGACTAATAAATTCAAACCACTAAGAACTGCACTTCAGGAATTTCCACCAGCACTGCATCAGTGTCATACCATTTCAGACCTCTATTTCCAGCACTATCAATGCACTTACTCAYTGCATAACCAAGCATTTAACCAAGCTCAGCTCTGAAAAGACACCAAAGCATAATCAGAGCCAGAGCAAAGACACCTCCTCCAGTGAGCTGCTCTCTCTACGCATGGGAACACCTTGGCCAYAGCTGCAGCCAAATGCTCCTTCCCCAAAACGCCATTTATTTACTGCTCACTTGGGCATTACAACTGCCAGGKCTCTAAACCTTACCAATTCCAATCTAATTGCTCTGATTGCCCATTTGTAAACAGCCTAATCGAAAGCCTGTGTCATATCTCTCTCTCCTTTTCCCAAAGTTTGCTCATATTCATTCTGAACTACACCAAATTTCTCTTGACTTGGGAGCCAAAAGCTGCTATATGGTGGTCACATGCTGCAATTTTTGCATGTTCTGTTCTTAAAATGTCATCTACAAAGCTGAAACGTGGAATTTTTTTTTCCCCCAGGGGAAGAGTCAGTAAACTGGTAGCTGAATTTTTTCTCCKAATACAGAGCCCACAGAGCAAAAGTTGAAACTACACACCAATTTTTGCATTAAATTGTCTCTTCTAGCCAGCTTAAAACTATCAGGGAGMAGTAAAATGACCCAATTTACATTTTCTCTCCCCGTTTTGTTGACTTCCTTTTGAAATTTCCTTTCCATGAAAGGGCTCTCAAACKGCGACCCAACAAGTAAATTTCAGAGTCAGCACACGATACTATGAAAGAGTTYGTAATGTAACAACACAATGATATGACGCAGGCTGACAGTGTCCCTTCAAAGCATTCCCAAGGAAATAAAGGCAAACTTTGAAAAAAGACCAGATTATATTTCTATGCTGAACTCACCCCCCTCTAAAAGCCCTAGTGCCTAAGTTTATTCTTATAAAAGTTTCAGCTTTTGCTTTGCATTTTTCCATGAAACCACTGCTGATAAAATTTACAATTTTTGAACTCCAGAGAAGTCTAAATCAAGCATATCATTTGAGGCCTGACACTCAGTAACTTAACTCTTATGGCGGAATTTGGTTAGGTTTTCCAAAAACAATATTTGTTCTGGAGACTTGCCACATATAAAACCCAGGGACCTGAAGTACACGAGTCAAGAAAATCATCTTTTGGGCTGTCAGCTTGCACGCACTTGGAAGGCAATTTTTATTCATCCTTTCACCCTGCCAAACCATCAGCTCACCTGGGAGACAAAAATGATTTGTGCCCCTCAAGGAAAAAAGTATCGGTTTGCCTACCATTATTCATCATAACCAGCACCATTCCAAGATSCAGTAATATTGGCAATAACTGAAGTTAGCTATCGCCTGCTGGAACCAACTAAAACAAGTGCCCTAAAAGAGAGGCATAAAACTACAAATGAGAGCTACTGATAAATAGTGGGAATGGGTGTCACGTTCTACAGGTTTTCAGAGCCAGCATAATTGCAAAATCCACTTAGAAGCGATGACAGGCACAGACAGCTATAGTCCAAAGCCTCCTTTCAAGCACTGGAGAGAAAGCACATGCTGAAGCAGGCCATTATAAAGTTTATTGCCACTCGATCATTTTTTATACCAAATGCATTCAGCTTGCCCCCAGATACCTTTTCCTTCAAATGCCATTTCTGCTATCTCTTAATTGCAGTAAGTCACATTCCTTAAGCATCAGTTGGGAGCTATGAAAGGTCTAGAGGCTCCAGGACAGGATGGGATCCCACAGTTTTACCAAGTGATAATCAGGCACTCCCATCACKATTAATGAGTTGGCACCAGCACAGTGGACACGACACACAGGTCTGCTGGTGCACTTAAGGAACATCAGCCCATGTGGGTTTGCCTCTCTGAGGCCAACCATGCTACAGGAAGCAACAGGCATTTGTGTTTCTTAAAAACTGAGTACTGCAGTTGTGTATATATATATAAAGAAAGAAAAAAAATAAACTGAGTGAGAAAACCCTCTTTTTCCATAGTCTCTTTAATCCTGGCTACTTCAGAGCACCCAGCCAACAGTCAAGGAATCAGCAAGCTCTCAAGAGCCATATCAAATCAAAGGGACAAACAGTTCCTCTACTGTTTTTCCATGGCTGTGWCCTTCAGCCTCTGAACCATGATGCCAGCGAGCCCTGACTCCTGTCGAAGCCCCCATGACATCCTCAGCTGCTGGAGTGCTGGCAGAGGGTGCCTGCCCCTTGCCCACGAGGCTCATCTCAGCCCTAGCTCTCACTGCCTTCTCCCCTGGCAGCTGGACTCATGACCAACCACCACACTTGAATAACTAGGCAGAATAAATCATGGTTGATAAAAAGAAGACTTTTTTCCTGTAACAGAAAGTGTTTGTTTTAAAAGTCAAATTATGTTTTTTTTTTTAAAAAAAACCTCATTAAAATTAAATTTGAAAGTACAGCAACTTGCATTATAAGTCAGTGTAGGATTTCATATATTAAAATTACTTACATGAAATAATAATTTATATATACAGAGAAGCAGTGCATATTTGCTGCCAAAGTTTAAAAGGAACTGAAACACTGAACACTTCAAAGTCACTGAATAAACACTGCCTTAATTAAGTCAGTAATAATGAATTATTTAATTAAGTCACAATACAGGAATTCGCRTATCAAATGACATCTATGATCCCTTAAATACACTGTTCTGGCTCTAACTGATCGAGACTAGACACTTTCAGAGAAAGGTCAATTACTAATTCCTAATAATAARGAGGGTAGCTTAAAACCAAACTATGGAAATCTTAACATCCTCTCTAAAATATGTATTAATCACATAAATGTCAAATTTGCAGTKTTGCTGAATTTGTGTTTAAACTTYCACAAATACCAATATTGCTGCAATACCAAACTGCAGTTTTCAATACATGCAGCTTCAAAACAAAACAAAACAAAACAAAATAAACAAACAACTCACACCACTTATCAGTATTGAGAAAAAGCAGCAAATGTCACTTTTTCATCCACTCTGTTACAAGTCAGAGAAAACACAAAAACCCTTTCTGCATACTAGACATTATTAAAGAGTCCTCTATCACCTCCTGTTTATTTGCCTTCCACACTGAATGTTTTCGAATCTGGCTGTGGCTACAAGTTTGTTTGTTTTTTCACACGCAGGAAGGGCTCTGCTATGAAAGCTGAGCCATACYCTCATGGGTGATCCACACAGAATACGGATATTGTGGCTTTACAACCTGCACATAGCGTGCTCCCTCTTGCTCCCACTGCACCTCACTACCCCCTCTTGCTCCCACTGCACCTCACTACCCCCCTTTGCTTCTCAGCTGCAGTTGTTAGCTGAGCAGGGGGCTTGCTCCAGCAACTGGAACATCCCTCTCACCAAAACAAACTGTTTAAAGAACAGTTAAATCTGCTTAAATTAGCTTATTACACAGGGCTTGTGCTGATTCAGGTGGATTGCTTCTCGTAAGAKCCTGGCAAGCAAGACTTAACCACCCCAGCACAGGCAGAGCTTAATTTAYGTTGGTACACATTTGCTGACCTTACTGGTTTTGGTGATACACACCCACTTTTAGCAGTCATCTACAACTGAAGAGTCATCATCTAACTCATCTCTGTCAGAGAGAATACTGACAGGTACACGCAGCACRGGTCTTGGGAGCATCTGCAGATGTGATGCTAAAATCCCAATACCTGCATGATGTCRACTATAAATACACAGAAGGAAAACTGAGGAGGAAGAGAGGAGCAGAAAGCAGCAATAGATGAGAAGACAGAAAAATATGTAAGGGAGGGCTTGGAGTTAGCTGGTTTTAAAAATAGATGAGATTGCAATTATTCG